TTTTTCCTGTCTCTCTGATAAGATTCTTGCTTATCTTGCTATTTTCTTGCTTTTTTTTTTGTCATGGTTTGAGCCTGGTCAGCAGCCAACCACAACGCAGCCATGCACTCTCCCTTCTCTTCCGGCAATAAGAAGGGACAGAGAGCCAGGCTTGGGGTTCAAGGTAGGACTGGGATGGGGAAAAAATCACCTTTTATGGGCACGTGCAAAAGGCAGACTTGTTAGGGGAAGGAAAAAAAAAGAACATACATTTATTACAGACACTAACAACACGTAACAGAGTAGGACAGTGAGAAGCATTGCCACATCTTGAGAACACCTTCCACCCACCCCTCCCTTCTTCCCAGGCTCAGCTCTGCTCCTGATATCTCTACCTCCTCCCCCAGTGGCGCAGAGGCAGGCGATGGGGAGTGCAGTCAGTGCTGCCACTTTCTCCATCTTCAGTGGGGGGGAGCTTCTGGAACTTGTTCCCCCTGCTCCATCGCGGTCCCCCTCTCACAGGAGACAGTCCTCCACAAACTTTCTCCAACATGAGTCCCTCCCACAGGCTGCAGCGTTCCCCACACTGCTCCATCGTGGGTCACCAACTTTCTCCGACTGGATTCTCTCCCACAGCTGCAGCCCTTCCCGAGCTGCTCCGGCATGGGACACCTCCACATGCTGCAATCCTCCCAGCGCTGAATTGCAGCAGCGGGGCTGCCTTTTCCCATGAGACCCCAGCCTTCTTCAGGCACAGAACCTTGATCAACCAACCAGAAGCCACAGGCCACAAATCAATGTCTGCTCCACCGCAGATCTTCATGGGAGGCAGGGGGGGGAGCGCCCTGCCATCTCCCCACAGGATACAGGGGGGTATCTGCTCTGGCACACCTCCCCCCTCCTTTTTTCCTCTGTTCCTCCACTGACCTTGGTGCTCACGCAGCTGCAGCAACTCCTCCTCACAAGTCCCACTGCCCGTCACCACGTCCCTTCTTAAATACGTTATCGCAGAGGCGCAGCTGATGGGCTCAGTTTTCCAAACTGAAGTGGAGCTGGCTTGGAGCTGGGGGAGCTTCGAGAAGCTTCTCACAGGGGGCCGCCCTGATAGCCCCCTCCCCTGCCACCAAAAAACTCCACCACTCACTCAACCCAGGACATATTTTTTTAACCACAGACAAAGAAGAATGCAGAATTGTAAATGCAAGTGCAAGTATGGGCTTATATTAACTAAAGTAAAAGAACATTGTGAAATGGCTGTTTACAACATATTTGAGAAAAGCACACCACTTAACATTCTCAATTCTTCTAAAAATTGTCACCGCTATTCCTGTGCTTCTGACCACATTCTCTGCAACTTAATTTTTTCCTCTCTACCTGTATTTTCCACACTTTGCTTTCTCACACTAATAACTTCTGAACAAGGTTAATTATGGCTATTTGATACTGAAGTACTGTCAATTGGGTGTCAAAAGGCTGGCATAGCCAGCAACAGGAATAACAGGGACAACAAAAAAATGAGTCTGTGGCATACAACAGCATCTGATAAACTTAAATAGTCTATGAATGTATTTAAATACATTAATTTCCTCTAGTAATTTTTGAAAATTTAAACAAGCAGATGGTTTGGAAGTTCTCTGGCTAATAACAAAGACCCAATTTACATTACAAAAGGTATCATTCCCTAAGATAGTATTGACTGTTTCTTGCAATATTGAGACACACTTTAAAGCTATAATAAACATCAGCTCTGATTAAGCACCTGTAGCTTGTCTACTAATGCAGTATATAAAAAGGGTTTGCTTGCAAGCAATTATAAAACCAGTTAAAAGTTCAAACTCATGTGGAATTTGGTTAAGCTTTCTTTGATGAAGTAATTCTATATTCTCTATTTTAGTTACTAAAAACAGCCTTTATGTTAAAGGTAAGCTCTTGTATCAAATTTCCAAGAAGTTGGGCAGTACATCAGCATGAAAATACATTCAAAATAGAAGTATTTAATACAATATGAAAGAGAACCTGGAAATTTTCTTTGAAGTATTGTTTGTTCAAAATATGATCTCTCAGAATACTCAAGCTTCAGTTGCAGTATCCCACACACATTACACATAGATGCACACCCACACACAAAGATACAGGCCCTTCTTTAAAGGGCACTAATTACTATGGCAACTACTGTCACTGACACAGGCAGCTCAATTTATTTTATCATTACTCGTATACCCCTAGAAACACCAGAACCCTGTGACATTTACAAATACAGTTCATAATCCAATTTTATCCTACTTTATCCAATAATTATTTGAAATATACCATCTTTTGAAAATAAAGTCACATACATTATAAACTAAATGAATATACAAGACAGATTTTATCATACAAACATAGTGAAGATTTGTGCCCAAACTTTTATGTAATTCACAATAATTTCAGAAGGCCAAAATACATAAACTCTAGAAATATATGAATACATTCCTCATTGTCCTTCTATATCCAACACTGTCTGAAAATTTGAGTGTGGAACGTATTCAGAAGCAGACACACACACCCCACTCTACCCAAAAAATTATTTTCTGTATCATATACCTGGCTTCCTAAACACTGATAAACAGGTGTTCAAGTACAGCAAGATTGATAGAGACAGTAACAAGCAAGAACTTGTTTCTGTGTTCTCATACATTTGAATAGTATCTCTACACCACTAATTTAATATTACAATTTATTAAAATATACACAAAAGATAGAGTAAAAGAACCAAATTAAAAAAAAAAAAAATCAGGGTTCAAAGTGTTGATATAATTGTTGCACATGCAAGCTTCTAGTAATTAAGACTGTACTACATAATACATACACATAAATATATACACAAGTTTACATATTGTCCTACTAACCTCTGCCCTGTTCAGTGCACAGAACAATTAAGAAACAATTATTCAGTATTCTATATGCTTTTCTCAATGCACAATCTGACTTCTTCTCTTTCCAATATTTACCCCTTTCTCTAAATAAAGAGAATTACTAAAATGTCTCTTTCACAGCACTCAGTGTCACAGGAACTAATTTCATATTTTAAAATATCCCAAGAGATATAATTTTCATAGATAGGAAGCTGAGGCATATAGAGAACTGGAAAGTTACACAGTACCTATTAATTTTAGATGCTCATTTTAAGACTTTTCTTCTTCTTTTTTTTTTTTTTATTTAGTTCTTTGCATTGTATTAAACCTCATATATTAAAAGCAAAGCTTCTGTTGTGTTGTTTGTGGATTCAGGCACTCAGCAGTCCCTCTTAGTTAGGCCTTAAGATCTTAGGCATACTCAAGAAAATAAGAAGGAATGAGTAATTGCTGGCTTGCAATGAAGAGTTTTAGGAGCTTGTCTGGTGCCATTTAAGAAGATTGTGACAAAGCAATGAAGGAGTTCAGTTCTCCTGGGCAGCATTAAACAGTCTTAACCTTGAATCTCTACTTTTTCTGCAGATTCCTGTTGCTTTTATTACACACCTTCCAACTATACTGGTATGTCAGGCAGAGCAATACATGGTACTGGCACCTTATCACATAATTCCAAAATATATCTATTCTGTAAGAACTGAAACAGAAGTTGTATGGGGGAAAAAAACATACATCTGCAGAGTGCAAGAAAAAACAGCGTGACTTGGTAAACTTTAGTTGCTTTGCCCTTTGTAGACTACATTGCACTTAGTCTGCACAGGCTTTTCTGTTCAATGCCTCCAAGTTTGGTCCCATCAGTTCTGCTGTGGTCCTATCTCAAGCTCCTTGTTTCAGACCTCTTCTGTTTGCCCTGTTTCCACAGTTCAGGACTCTCAGTTGAATATCCTTGCTAAGCCTGACATAATCTTCTTCTAGAGTTACTCTCTTACCTCCACTCTACCTGCTAGCCCCAATTCCTATCCTCCTCTCATTTTTTTTGTCCAATCTGCACTTAACTATCCTCAGCAGTTCCATTAGTCAGCCTCTCCATCCATCCTTGTCTGAGATACCATTTCCCCACAGCTATCAATATGCCCCCTTAAATTACCCTCATGATGCCCTTTGCCAGGTCTCTTGTTTCAGGCTCTTCCTCCCTTTGTTAACCATTTCCCCAGCCCTTCCTCCTCCTGAATTAATATGTTCTTTTTTCACCTGCCCTCATTTTTTTCTCTACAGCTTCCAGATTCCTTCACTTGTAAATCATCATCTCAGCAAAGCATTATTTCCCTCACCCTGGTCACACTACTGTACTCTTTACGTATTCAAATAGATGTTAGGTACATTTGTTCTTTTGGCCTCCCTTTTCTACCATGCCTGGGTGACAACTGAAGATCCTCAAAAGCACAGGAGAGAGAGGTTCTCCCTTTTCTTTTCAACATCTAGGCTGACCAATTACCAAGCCCTGAATGTCGTACTGCAGCACACTCACTCTGCAAAAAAATCTCATGTGCAGTACGGTCACGCTCACATTAAAGAGATGCTCTGGAAGTCTGATAGATTTTAGCAGCTGAAGACACAGCTATTTCTACCCACATAGATTGATATTTTTCAGAGCATCTGCTAATCTGCATGAAGGTTCGTAGCACTCCAGAGTGAAAATAAAGTATATACAGCAGATAAAAGCCATCCTCTTAATAGACTTCCAGACCTAGCTCTAAATTATGAGTATTAGAGCATTCCATACAACATGTCCCAAGAATTTAGTGAGGCAGGATAATTTTACTAGGTGTTTTCACAGTACCAGTTGAGTTATTCTTAGCAAGTATCTTCCTAAAAAAGTATTTCAGTTTGAGGAAGACATCCTGCATAGAAAGGACTGAAAGGATGTTTCTGTCCAAACAGGAAGAGTTGCATGCACTTAAGAGTGCTTATTTTCAATGGGGAGCAGAGACATAAACACACAGAACTAGCTCTTCTTCGGTGACATTTATTTTGGAATTGTAAGAGACACCTAAGAATTTGTGTTTCCATTAGTTCATCTGCTTTCTTATAATGTTTGGTTAAAATACAAGTTATTGCAATTTAACTTACTGAACATTTTCTGGTCTCAATTTATCCAGTACCATCTCTATTAAATCAGACCTGAATTCTTCAAGCAAATATTCAGCAGCCAATATTTCTTCTATAGGATAATACTAAAAAACAAAGACGAAAAACATATAGATGCATTAAACAAAAACTAAGCATGAAAAAACTACTGTTTTGTAGAGGAAATAGCAGTGTATACTTCTGGTTGCTAAGTCTGTATTACCTTGGTAATTTTAAATTAGAAGTGCATAGATGTCTTAAAAATCTTTCTCTTAAAACTAAACATGATGGAGTAGTACTCTAACTAGCCAATCATATTTCTTCTATACTAGGTAATTTTATACACTGAATTTTAACATTCTTTTCTCTTTAAATCTTTTATGTCTCAATATAAAAAGTCACCCACATTTGAATACTGTTTTGAAGTAACTAAAGTAAAAATAACATAGTAAATGCTGACCCCTGCAGGATATTTTTAAAGATAAAAGAGCACCAAGTACTCCCTAGATTGCATTTGCAAAAAACCCAAAGCTTAGCACAGAAAAAACACACAACACACACACACACACACACACACACACACACACACACACAAGTAAAAACACAAAACCAAACCCAAACCAAACCAAACCACTGAACAACCCCCCCCCCCCCACCACTATGTTTTTTAGGACTCTCTAAGAATGCAATTTTTATATACAATAACCTAAGGGAAAGAATATTTCAATTACCTAAAAGCATAATACGAATTTCCACAATTTTAATTCTAACATTTTTCATTTAGGATCAAACTGAAAATCTCTTAAGGGACATCACAATTTAAGACGAAAGAAAAGAGTTAAACTTCCTCTGAAAATGATTACTGCTGTTGATAGGATAACTTTGTTGATAAACATCTGTTTACCAAAGGGAAAAATACCAGGTGACCTAAACACCGAGTACTTACAGTTTGCCATACAAGTGTACTTATTTTAACCAGAATTATTATAAAATGGCTTTCTGAATTAAATACATTATACAAAAGACTACAGTGGAATGAATTCCAGAACACAGAGTAACTCACACAAAGGATTTTGGAAAAGAGAAAGGTCTGGGAGAGGAGAGGGCAGCGTGGAGACCAAGGACAATGAACCAAATCTGTGTTACAAATGTGAATGCTAAAGATCCTGAATTTGACAGGTCTTGTCCAAAAGACTGAAGAATGCATTTAACTACATTCTGCACAAACGGCTAAGCAAACTAAGCAACTTGAAGCAGAGATTTTAAGTAATGTAATTTCTAATCTGAAATTACCAAGGCAATATAGTTTTAGTGACCAGAAGTCTACACTTCATTTACTTTACAAACACAGGCCACAGTCTGTCCACCAACTGGAGTCGAACATTATATGTATTTGATTACTTTGTTATTTTGTAGTGCTTGAGCGGGGGCGGGGATGGGGGGGAGGAAGTGTTTGGACAAGATGACCTCCACATGTCCAATTCAACCTGAACCACTTTGGGATTCTGTGATTTCTTTTTGGTAAGGTCAGAGCATAAGATAACTAAAACAAACAAGACTAAAACAATCTAGATATGACAATCAGATTAATATGAAATTTTAAAGAGTAGATAATTAAGGAGACAAAACAAAACAAGAGGAAAAGGGCACTGCAAACCAGCGAACAACTACCTGGAAAACATCAAGCCTACACATGACAAGTATGAAATATAATTTGGCAGCAAGACCTTAGCGTTGACTCTTTAGACCAACACAAATGTGTTTTAAAGATGAACTTCTGCTTTGTTGAATAGAAAGCTTTTTAAAATCCTTTTGGTAAACACGTAACAACTTATGACATTACACTTACTCATGCTAACTTATGCATAGGTTCATCTCCAAGTTATGAAAAACACCTAGTATTCATAAGCACATGAAATCACCAAACAGCTCTAGCTTGGTTAATTAATTCAAAGCATAAACTTAGTATGACTCAGAAACAGTAAAGAGAACTAGAAAAGTCATTTTTCTATTAGTGTTTAAGCAACTAACATCAGAATCAGAATTACCATTCATACTGCAAAGCACAGCAAAGGAAAAGCAGTGGGAAAAAGAAGTCCTGAATCAATACCCTGCTCTTTGGAACACTGCTGGCAACATCCTGGCCTGATTCTTGGAGACAGAAATTGTAATCGGGGAAGATCCAACAAATACAGACCACTGAAAGACTGTTATAGAAGTCAGAAGCCCATTTGTTAAAGACCTTTTATGCATTTGACAGAACAAAAGCAAGAGACAGCATCCCAAATAGGAGCTCCTTTAAATATCAATTTAAATGTTTTCAGCTAACTCTAATGCTTTTTAGTAAACAGAAAGACAATTCTAAAATTAAAGATCACTACTTTAGACTTTACAAATTACAGGTGTAGGAGCATTAATATGAATTCCTGCAAAGAAACCAAAAATGCTTCTGAGTACATATAGACATTAGCTGTGCAATAGAGAATGGCTATAGATTTTTTTGTAGTATTATGCAAACTTACTTCTAACTGTATATAGGTCTCAACTTGCCTCAAGGTGTGTATGAATGAGGTACAAAAGAACGTAATTCTTTCTCATTTGACAAACAGGTAGATAAAGGAAATTAGTTCTATAAGATGTTTTGGAAAAAAATACATAAATGGCTTAAGCAGAGGTGGAAAACTGCACACAGAAAATTTTCACTAGTGCTTTTTAAACATCCTGCTCACAAAAGAAGCCATGGATTGGAATGTAATTTCTCTGACTACATCCTGGTTTTTAGACTCCTTCCTAAATACCAGCGACTGACAACCCCTTGAGAAAGGATACTTGTCTGTAACTTTAATCTAACCTGTTTTGGGGTTCTTATGTTCTTCTATATTTATGAAATGTATTGTGATATCAGACTTTGTTATTACGATTTAATTAAACTGAATTTTTCATTTGCATTAAACACAATCTGTTACAAAAGACAATGTACAACACTTGAACATTCATGAAGTTTCCCTAAACCTCTCAAATTAGTGTCACAAATAATAGCGCTTTTTCACCTCTCTTTTTCTTTTTTTATTTTTTCTCTCCTCTTTTTTCATCTCCTCCCCTCATTCCTACCCTCTCCTATTTTTTTTCTTTTTCCTTATTCTTCTCTGCTTCTTGTTACCTGTTCCTGACTCTGAGTTGGCGAGGTAATAAAACATCAGACTCCTTGTCTATCTGTCCATAAGATGCGATGTCCATGAATTATTTTCTCAGGATTTGACATCTTCTAGTCTCATAAATTCCTTTTATGTTCGCATCTACATTTCCACGATCAAGTAATAAACAGCTCAGAAATTGTACAAATACGTTACCCGGTGTATCGTAGTGTTGTAATTATGTAAATATTCCTTACCGGTTATTAAACCTTGAATATAATCATCTGTGCCTATTCTCCACTAACCCTAAGTTATTTCTAGGCGTGCCTGTTAAAACGAGAAGTTGCGAGGAAAAACGCCGTTGCTGGGAAACGGACACACCGCACGCCGGAGGCGGAGCGGGAGGGGTTATCCCCGCCCCCCGCGGAGCGCCACGGCTCCCTTCCAATCACGCCGTCCCTCCAAGCCGGGAGGCGGCCGTGGTGGCGCATCTTCCCTCGCTGACTGGTCGCCGGCCACATCGCGTCACCAGGAGGCGGGGAGCGCCCGGATTGGCTGGGAGGGAGGGGGGGAGCCCGGCGCTGATTGGCCCGTGCCGGTCACGTGGCGCTGGTGGGGCTGTGACGCCCGCGGTGGCGGAGGGGCTCGGCTTGTCAGGTAGGTGGGTGCTGTGCGCGGCGCGGCTGTGCCGTGGCTGGTGCCCGCGCCCTGGGAGCTGCCCCGCGCCGGGAGGCAGCCGTCCCCGCCCCGGACCGTGTCCCGCCCGCCCGCCCAGCAGGCCGCCGGGGCCGGAGCCGGGGCGCGGGTAGGCCCCGCGCGGGGATTTACCTGCGGGCGGGGCCGGGTGGGGCGGGACGGGACGGGACGGGACGGGACGGGGCGGGCGCCGGCGCCGCTCGCGCTTTCCTCTGAGGGGGCGGCGGCGGCGGCGGCATCCGGTCGCCTCCGGCGGCGGCGCGGGGAGACGTGAGGGGCGCCTCTCGCCTGGCGGCGGCTCCGCCCCGGCGGGAGAGGCAGCGCGGCGGGTGCGGATCCCCGCCCCCGGGGCCGCTGCCGGGCCGGGGGCGCGGGGCTCTGCGCAGGGTCCGGGAGGGTGTCCGGGCGGGGGCCGAAGGGAGGGAAAGGCCTGGCTCGGTCCGGTTCCGGCGGCGCCTGTCCCGCCGCTGCCCGCCGTGTCTGCTCGCCCACAGCGCTCCGGCTGCGCCACGGCGCCCTGGCCGCGCTGCAACCGCGGCGAATAGCGGGAGGGCGCGCCAGCCAGCGCTTGAAAGTTTGTGATGTGTGGCCCCACTCTCCCCCAGATAAATGCAACGCCACTGCTTCTTTTTTTTTTTTTTTTTTTTTTTTTTCCCCTTTTTTCCCTTTTTTCCCCTTCAATCCTCCCCAGTGACAGTGATGTACAGTTTAGCGCTTTTCCTAACTGATGCATTCGATTTAGAGCCTGTGTAAATAGGGCCTTCCTGGTGCTACTGTCCTAGCCTTTTCCCTATGCATTTTTATGCTTTGTGTCTTCGTGGGTTTGGTTACTAAATGTTCACATATTTGGTATTTGAGAACAAAACATATAGAACAACATTAAACATCCCTTTTCATGTTGGAGTATGTTTCTATTTTGCTTGACTTTACACGAGCGTACACCCTTGCAAGTGACATATTCTGTGTGAACACCAAGGGCTTGGTTATACTTTTAAACAAGCCAAGTCATCTTCTGTTTGTGAGAAAGCAGCAGTGCAATCCAGGTAGCTGATGTTACTTGTGGGAAATGAAATACCCCACAAAATCTTGATGTAATGAAGTGGGCATCGCTTTGTAACAAACCTGCTGAAGTGACTTTGGTGCTCTATTATATTTTAATTCAGCTTCTTTTAACAAGTTGGATTGTAAGAAAAACGTGGATGACATCTGAAACGTTTTTATCAAAAGAATTTACTGGGTATTTTCAGTTAGTTGTACCTACTGAATAATATATAATAAAGATATGACTGATCCAGTTTACTACATGTATGTGCTAGTCTTTGGAAGACTCAAGGAGGTGGGGCGTTCATACTTATAATCTGCTCACAGTCAAAGCAAATTGCAAGTGATGGACATACTATAGGTTAAGTTACAGTAATGATTATTGTTGGTGAGAAAAAGGTACGTTCTCTCCTCTTATAAATTTATTTTTAATGTCTGGAAGCAAATTGTCCTTACTGTTACAGCTTTAGAATATACACGCATGGAACGTTAACCTCAGAAAGAGTTGAGCTTTGGGGATATTTCTTTGGAGGCAAAGATCCGATCTTGTGTGTACAACATTACCTTTTAGCTGTGCAAAGGGTCGGTTAACCATCACCAAGATCCTTTCCTGCATTCCTACAATTATAACTGTGTCACGACTGAATATCAGAGGAAGGTGGTTCTTCAGTTGGTATTTGGATTGTCAGTGTATACAGTGATCATGCAGAAATCATTCCGAGGAGGCACTTGAAATTAAAGACGGGTGGGAGGATTTTGAAGTAGAGTGATACAAAAGAAGATAGGATGAGTCATTGCTAAAAGAGGGGGAGAGGTAGCCCTTGCATCACTGGAATAAAGAGATTTAACATGGGGAAGCAAGATTCAGCTACATGCGGTTGCACTGTGGTTAGGTAACGTAAGGATGTATTTCTGTACTTAAAAATTTCCAGAATTCAGTTTGGCTCTTTGAGCAATGGAGAGGAGACGAGCTTCCGTGATAGGATGTAGGCCTGGGGCAAGCGCCTGGCTGCCTGTTCCTTGTCCGTGCGAAGACCCCCTCTTCCTGCCCGGCTTGCCCCTCCGCTTGCTGCCGCTTCCCGGTGCGCTTTCAGCAGGGAAGCCGCGGGGTGAAGGAAGGTATGTTGCCGTGTCAGCCTGAAGGCGGAGAAAGTTGGCAGCAAGCCCGGAATTGCTCCCTACAAGGAGATGGGCGAGCAGCATGAGGTCATCGCTTCATAGGGAGGAGTTTTTTTGCAGTGTGTGGGAAGTAGGTCTAGGAAAAGAAAAGGGGGTTCTTTTGCCTGGGGGGGGGAGGAGAAGCAGCAAGAGAAAAGAAAGCCTAAATTCATTCCAGCGGGAAGTAAACTGCATATATGCTCCCATCATATGACAAAACTGTCCACTTACTACTGTCTTAATTATAGTGTTGATGTATTTACCTTATAAAAATGGATTTTGAAAGTGTAGTGGTTTATTATGCAGTAGAGATAGTCTTGGAATTGTTGAGGTTTTAAAATACTGTGCATTAAATGCGCAGCAAGTTTCTGCTGTATAACATTTGCGTTAGGTAACTATAACATTTATTTGGAAAGATTTATTTTGGAAACTTCTTTTAGTAGTGAATCAGTGGAATTCGTAGCTTTGTTTCTGGGGTTTAAAGGAAGATAGTTACCTTTCTTTTTAAGAGTTACATGTGTGGTCACGTACAGTTCATTGGAAATTTTGGAAGTGGTTCTTAAAAAGCAGCAAGGGTGCGTCTAATATCTTTTTTGTGTTTTTTTTTTTTTTTTAAGACAACTTCATGAGGTGGAGGACTTTGATTACTGTCATCTTGTAGCATGAAATCATATTTGAAAGCATAACTGTAACCTTTTGTAATTCCTCCTGCAAGTTTAAATGTAGAGTTCCAGTTAGTTTTAAGTCTAATGCATCTAAAGTAATAGGGATTTTTTCAGATTTAATGCTGTAATTAATCTGAGTGAATTGTACTTCATAACATCATTCTACTTTAGATCTCAGATTACCATTTGCTCTATTAGTCACCAGCCTCCTTTGCATTCCTGCCTTTCTGCATGAGAGGGAAAATGCCAATTGTTTTAACCACATACAATTTCAGACTTTTTTTCCTGCACTTGAGCTTCTTACTAACCTTGTCATGACACACACGTGAGTGTCACACCAGTGTGTAGAGACAACCCTTCATGCTCATAACTGTACTGTTCAGTGGCATGTTTTCCATCCAGTTGTACAGGTTTATCAGAATTCATGATCTTTGCAATGTATTAGTTGGCTTGTTAGAACACAGCTCTGGCTGTTTAATCTTGTCTGTGTTGTGAACTTGCACCTTGAGCAGTGAGGGTATTTTGTTAGGTTTTCAGATATGGTTGCTCTTATTTTCTGCTGAGGGGAGAGTTACTACTTGGGACAAATCTTGCCCTTATGTTGTTGATGGGGTGAATGGGGAGTAACAGCAGTAGTTGAATACTATGAGATGTTTCTTTGATACCGCTCTCTATTAAGATGATCACATGAAACTTTCAACTGTTAAGGGTGAAATAAAAACATTTGCATGGGTACTCTTTATCTGTCCTCTAGGTATGCTTTACAATATTGCTTGCACAATACTATAGTCCATTTGGAGCCCTGTCTTATTAAGTGCTAGTAATGAAAATACTTAACAAATAATTACTTAGTAGTTTGTCATATATTAGGCATTTTTCTGTATAGTATTCAAATCTTGGTCTCAAGTCAGTCCTTTTGCAAGCTCTCTTGTCATCATTTGATCTTAGAGTCTCACAACCTTTTTTCATATTACGGTTTTGGAAGCTATTTGTTTTATCATGAGGAGCTGATACATTAAGGAATTAAGTTTAGGCATCACAATAAATGACTATAAGATCTAATGAAAAATCAATTACCTTTTAAGTAGGGGCAACCTGTGAAAAGTTTGTGAATTGTTGCATATTATGTAAGCACTCTTTGCCAGAAGCAGAAATAGAATCCAGAATGGTGTTAAAGTGCATTAATCATGATCCCTTTGTTCTCTGAAATTGCCTGTTTAGCAACTGGGAGACATACAATTACAGCAATGAGCGTGATAGAGTCGTGAAAATGAGAATGCTGAATCATCCCCAGAGCACTCCGTCTTCTGTAATAAATGAGTCAGGCATTTATGGAGAAAAGCAGTGTGGAATTATATGATCACATAATGTATATTGCAAAAAGGGTGGCATTTAGGTTTTCATCCTCAATTTGTGAATCTCTTAATTTCAGTACTTGATTTGTCAGCTTTGCTGCTTTTCTTCAGCTTTATTTATGCCGAACTTCTTGCTTTAGAAAAATTGGAAGATCTTATTCAATACATTGACAGCATATTGTAACTTGGTTTGTCATGACATTTGTAATGTTTGCTGGTTAAAATGAAAATGTCAGTAATAAGTTGTTTTTTTTTTTAGTACAGATCAGACTGGAATGGTGAACAAATAAGTCTAGGGCCTTAAGTTAAACGCTACTCTCTGAATATCTAAAGCTTGTCCTATCTGCTGTTAAATTGTGTAAGTTCGTTAAAATCTGTTTAGTGTAGCATACCACTGTGTTAAAATACTGCTTTTGTGAATTATGCTAAAACTTTCCTTAATGTTTTGGGTTTCTTTCAGATAGCATCTGACTTCCTAGTTGTGGCTTCTGCTTTGAAATGTTCATGAATGTAAAATAGTACCCCACAGAATTTGTATCCCAAGTAAGTTTCAGGAATTTCAGATAAGGGGTGCAGTCAAGTGAAGTGGCTAAGTTTAAAAACATGACAGTTTAAACACATTAAATAGTAGTATTTTAAAACAATTATGCTATCCCTACAGCAAAATGTGAGAATTGCTTTTGTAGCCAATTTTAAGAAAAATCATACAACTTTGGAGCACCTTTTTACTGATTGAAAGATATAAGGCACGGAATCAGAAAAACTTACACATGTTTATTATTGGTATAATTACATTTGTTGTATGTTGATGCTGTGAATGGTGTGTTTTCTCCCAAGGAGAATATCTTTTCCATAATATGATTCTTTACTAGTTCAGCAGATGTGGTAACTGAAGTTCACCAGATAAAAGGGGATGCCTGATTCACCAGATATGGACAAATGTTAGCAGCTGAAGTGCACAGCCAAAAAAGCAAAGAATTGTAGAGAGTTAAAGGCCTATAGTGAAGATAGAGGAAGGCCTTTAATACCCAGTTCTGCCTTTTAGATTAGGTGACTGTTGAAAGTGGAGTGGTAAATTTCTCATCAGTGAATATGTTAACTAAATCTGAAACTACTATTTTAACAAATTTAATTAACATCTAGATCATGTAATTTATCTAAATGATTCTTTATATGAGGAGATAATTACACATATCCTTACTGAGGTCAAAATCTCAGTTTGATTTGATCCTTGTCTTCCTGCATGGCCTCTTAGTTATCTATGCTACATGCTTTCTAACAGCTTTTTTGGAGCCAGCTGGTACCCTCTGAAAGGAAACCTGCTCACGGTTGATGGGATTGTTTTCTCCAGGCTCTGCTCCAACAATATGTATGCACACTGCAGGAGATGTGTCCTATGCAGAAGAGTCTTCTGCAGGTATCCTATGCCTGTATACCTTGTATCCTCAAACCTAAGACTTCCTGTTTCCACAAAGCATACAGTGCATACCCTGTGTATCATGCTACTGAAACATCATTCTGATGGGCTCTGACATGGTGATCTCTTATGCTCTAGTATTTCATCACCAAAGTCCCTCCAAACTGACTTGGGGAGCCTATTGGAGATGTGGGGATTTGCAGTGTGGATACGGTTACTCTGCTTTCAGGGTGTGGGAGCTGCCATTTCCACAACAGTGATTAAGAAGATGGTTGTTAACATTTGACTATTACTATAGTTCAATGAAGGAGGAAAGAAGAAACAACACCCTGATTGCTCTTTCTTTTCAAAGAGCTTTAGATACTTGGAACTAGATTATGTTTCTCCTGAGGAGACCTGTAGTGTCATATATTACAGACTACTGACAGATTTTTAATCTAATTGTTTTGGCTTCAGCAAGAAATTCTGGCTGATGTTGGGCCATAGAAACAAATTAAACTGTCTCCAAACTTTTAGTAGTATTTTGCATCCTGTGGATTTCTGTTTTCCTATGGCTGTCCTTAAATCTCAAGAGGTAATACGGTGCTTCTGGAGGAAGCTCATAGCAGTATTCTGGATTCCTAAATTGAAATGTGCAGTGGCAGCAGCTAGAAGAGTTTTGCGACTTGAAATCTTTCCAAGGAGGAGTCTTATGTGGTGTTTTGTGGTGATGAGAGGCCCTCAGTACTGTGTCAGTATTCTTCCCTCCTCTGTCTTCCCTGAAGAGATACTTTAGTAGGTGGCCTTAGGATTGAGTGTTTGAGCCTGGATTTTTTTTTTTTTTCGGGGTGGGGGTTCATTCTGACTTGCCATGCATTTATTTCAAGGCAGATGGATATCAAGATATGAAATGTTACCTTCAGAGGTTTGGGTTTTTTTCCAAATAAGGAAGACTGCTTCCTACCTTTGAGGTGGAGAAGCTGGCATCTAACTGAATGAAGGAAGTTAGTGAAGAAATAAGTTAACTGTGCATAGACTAACTCATTAGTCAACAAGGTTCCTACAGGTACTTTTTAATTACAGTGTTGACCACATTTCTTAGCAGTTGTTTCCATCTTCACTATTCATCTAAGACAAGAAATCTCTTGAAAATCCAATACTTTGTTTGTCTTTTGTTGCTCTTGTTTGTTCAGAAGTTTCTTTAAAATGCTGTATAATATACGCTTTAAATGAGTCTGAGTCACTGATGTGTGGATTTAGTTTTTTTCAATTTGTGGCCAATTTTCGGTCATTTTAGCATTACATATTTATTTGTAATTCTAGAACAGTCCTGTCATTTAGCTTGTATAACTTGTAACAGGGTTGGAGATACTAGGGTGAAGTATCAGCCACATGAGAATAATTTTCATGAGCCTTATCCTGTTCAGTCCATTTTTCTGTTAAGGTCTAGTGTGGAGATAAATGTTGTAGCACTGCAGAATTGAGACTTCAGTGAAAATTTTTTGGTCAGGTGGTCTCTATCGAGGCTGTGCTTTTCATTGGCTTTCCTTGCAGCCTGGAAGTTAATTTAAGGAAAGTTTTAATTCCTAGAAAAATACAGGAATGAAAGCTTTCTTTACTTGTAGGCATGTGGAAGGTAACAAGAAATTAGGTACACTTACCCTTTGAAAGCAAGCTGTGTGATTGTTGTTTTGTATGTGTCACTGCCTGTTTCAGTGATAACAAGAGCACAGCACTGCGGCATGGTGGCAGTGTGATTTGTGGCAGCCAACCTAGCTCTGCTCTTCCTAACCTGTATCTACTTTCACTTTCTTGTGATCTTCTGCCTGGTGAGATTCAGTCTCCAGCATCTGCCTTCCTATTCACCTGTGACTGTGAGATAGAAACTTCTGCAGGATGGAAGCAAAACTGGTTGAGTAACTGCACCTAAAGAGCACTTACCACATGGTTCACTACCAAATGGCAGCTTTTCCTGTTGCACATGCTTCACAGGATGCCTGAGATTAAAATAAAGGCCATGCTGAGGAAGTTTTCAGGCCATGGGGAGCTGGGAACAACTGTAGGTGTGGACAGTGAGATTACTATTTAGAATAATCTTGGCACATGGGAGGTATCGTCTGGAATAAGGCAGGGTGTGAGTGAGCACGAAAGGAACATACTGTCTGTAGGCTGGACTGAATGGGTATGTGATGGAGGAAGAAGCAGGGTAAAGTGCAGTTCTGTGGAAAAGTACCTGGAATTTTTGGATCACAGACAAGGAAGGACACAGTACCATGCTGTTGGGAAGAGAGCAGAGCGCTTAGGCAGGAGCTCAAAAGCAATTCGAAGTAATTTCTCTGTGCTTCTGAGTCAGTGGGTCCTAGAGTACCCCACTGGTTTAGGTTCTTAACTCTAAGTGAGATGGAGACCGACTGGAGGGTGTTAAGAGGACAGCAGTTGTCTAGAAAGTTACTTAAAAAGAAAGTTTAAAAGAATTAGAATTGCTTAGTCAAAAACTAGGATATTCAGGTTGCAAAAGAAAGGGTAGTCTCTTTTCTGTATTCCTCAATCATGGCATGGGGAAGGTGAGATTTGGTCATTGAGAACCTTTTTCCATGTGCTAAGGGCAAAGGAATGCTAAATCAGAAAGTCTGAAAAGACCGAGTCTTGACAAAAATGTTTCTGCCATAGGTAAGTATATGTGTTTTTTTGGTGGGAGGGGAAAGAATTAGGTGATGTCTTTAGATTATAAGCCTTACACTGATGTGAATGTTAGTGATTTAACTTCCATCATGTCTATTACTAGCATTTGCATGTGTGAAAAAAATTCCAACAGGTAAATGGAGATTTTGCATATCCAAAATAGGAAGTGTGTCTTGTAATTCTAGACAGAGGGTCTGAAGTTGTTTTTTTTGGATTTTAACTAGTTTATCTTTTGCCCCCCCCCCTTTCTTTTTTTTTTTTTTTGTACTACTGACATATGTAAATCCTATTATTTCATAGACTTTACTGCTTCTTACTTGCATTTATTTTTAGTAAGATCACAGCTGCAAGACCTGCTAGAGATAACTGTGGTCTTCACAGAGCTGCAGATGTAAGAGAGCGAGAGTGAGGATGTTTTTTCAATAATTTTTATAATAATTTTTGAACCTGTTTGTTTCTTGGTCTCAGATATATCTTTAGGCATTGAATTCTCTTATTTAATTATTTACTAGGCAAATAAGTACTTAAGAGCAACTTTTTAAACTTTCATTTGATGTTCCCATGTTTTTCTGGGAAAAACTTAAGGCATCTGACATACCATGTCATTTTATGCTATCATGATTTTTTTTTTTATACTTTGATCTGACACCTCATCATACTTGTGTGTTTTGTGAACTACAATTCTCTGTACTTTGTGCAGAAGCTGCTTCGTACACTGATCAATACTTCTACTTTTTTGATGCTTTACATTCTTCATGAGGTAGAATAATTTGAAGGTATAGGGACACCATGAATGTATCAGCAGTGTACGAATATAGTATGTTCTGTCTTCCTTTCATTAAAAAAAGGTCTGATATTCTGGATGGTTTCTGACCTGACCACTTCAAAGAACTGAACAAATGTTTTTGAAGATGTATGTTCAGAGACTACCAGACCTTTTTCTGCTGGTGGCATTAAGTAACGTAGAGTTCTCTCTCCCAGTGTGTTACAGTGCTTTTACTGACATGTGACTGCATCTGCTATTTTATATGCTTGTTGCTCAGTATTCTGGGGTATCTATGCAAATTTTTTAATGACCTACCAGTTTTGATTGCTTGTAATAATTTTGTATAATTTGAAAATTTAAGCACAGATGATATGTGAAATGATAGATATGCTGAAGTCCTGGCACAAATTCTGGTGAGACTTCTGACTTCCCTGAGTCTCCTGAGTGCCTTGTCAAGCTCGGAAAAAAATTGTCGTATTTTCTACTTTAATTCCTCTTCACTTATGTCATGCTAAGCCCAAGTTTTTGCAGAATTAACAGTTTGGTAATTTCATATTAGATGCTTTAACACTTCAGCTGAATAGTATGTAGCTCTGATGAATTCTTACTATTAATTTGTTATTTTTAAATGCTCCTCTGATGCTTCATTTTGAGAGAGTGTCTTCTATATCCCCAGTCTAAGGAGAATCTGTTGTGGGTCTGGTTGTGACAGTCTTGGCAGTCTTGTCTTTCAGAAGACACATCATCTAGGTTTTCTGCTTTATCCTTACCTTCTTTCAATTCTTTCTTTTATATCTTCATTATCTAGTGGTTTATTGCATTGAGGTAGGAAGCTGTCTGTTACTATCAGATTCCACTATGTTTGATCTCAGAAATACCAACAAGAATTCTGTAACATTTTATTGCTCTCTTAGAGAGGACTGTGTAGTACACTGGCAAGCTTTTATTGCCCTTCTGTGTATGAGCTAGTATATGCCTATCAATTAGAATAGTATTGGACTTGTATTACCAGTTTTAAATTTTACTAACGACCTGTATACAGATGAAAATATGCACGTAGATAAAAAGTCAGTAGTAATTGGAATTCCGAAGAAAAGTGTGGTTTGTGTTTTATTTTTATATTGATAAATAAAATTCTCCATTCTAACGTATGTGATAGAGTAGTTCTGTAAACAAAAAAAGGTGTGTTTTTTGTCAATGTGCAGAGAGCAGAAGATACAGCTTGTCTGCATTTAAGTAGCTCCAATCTGTTTCATTTAATAAATGGAATTTTTAGAAGGGGTTCAGCTTACCATATGCAATTTTTAACATCTGCTTGAAATCTGAAGATGCCCAGGTGCTGTTGGTAGCATGTGTTTTACTTTCTGTTTGAACATATTGGTCCTATTTGAACCAGGAAAAGGGTTAAAAATAGTGTTCCTGTCCAGTGATATGTTTCCAGCTGGTTTGTATTTGTGATAAGAGAATTGGAGCCAAATTTACTGTCAAGTTTTGCTCTTGCTTTTAGGTTTTTTTGCTGGTGAAAACTTTCTCCTGGACTTTTCAACTTTGCCACAAGTGTTTTTGTATCTGTTATTAAAAATGTGGGAATTTTGTAATACTTCTGGTGCGTTTTTCTTTCTCCTTTTGTGTCTGCTTGCATAGCTGCTCTTTCTTTGCAGTGACTGAATGTAAGCATCACTTATAGTCTTTTCTATTTCTGGTCATGAAAAATTGAAGTTTTGTATTTATATTAGGCAGCCCTTTCTAGAATGTCACTAAATAACCAGAAAGGAATACTAAATAATGTCTGCTTGAATATGAACTAAAACTAATCCCCTTGTAAGATTTTTTAAATATGTCCGTGATTAATGTTTTATTTTAAATAGTGGAGATCTTGAACAGTTTTGTTTTTTGTTTTTTGTTTTTTTTTTTTACCCTTACGCACTTTTTTGCTTAGTATGTCTTTTCTTACAAGGGCATTGTTAAACTAATACTGAATGTCTAATATTGAAGGTTAAATCTTTAGATGAGACTTTCTGGTATGAGATTGTGAGTGAACACTTAACACTGGTCCAGATGTAGCTTATACAGTATACCTTGCACTTGTAAGCTATATGCAAAGCCTGTTTCTTATTATTTTTTGTTTTATATATTTTTTTCTTAATATAAAACCCTAAAAATCCAGCCTTCTGTTTAAAGTTGATAGATTGCAGTCCAGAGTTAACAGCTTGAAATTTTACTACTGCAGTCATCTTAATTTTGACCTCTTACTACTCTAGATATTGAAGTAATTAGAGCCATATAAGAAATTTATGTGTCCTGATTGATCCCTTTCTCATGTTGCCATTTGTTTTCTTACAGTCTAGTAAAAATACTGCTACTAAGTTTGTCTTACATATAATGAATTTTAGTTCTCTGTGCTTTTGTTTTGCTTCTTAATGAGCTTCTTTTTTGTTTTATTAAGGGCACAGTTCAGAAATAAATTATCTAATTTTCCAGCTACAATACCCTGTGTCATAAGAAATTCCAAGAACTTCAAAAAAATAAACTTTGGTTACATGTGTAGAGACAAAATTATTTCTTTTCTCAAAATTATGTGTGTGAAGTGATAGCACACTACTACTTGCAGTCATTTGAGAAGTCTGCTTTTTTTGTTTTCTTGAACTGTCTCTTTTTAAAATAAAAAATCTGTCTTCTGATAATAATCTGAAAATGCAAAGCACCTTACCCAAGTTTAATTTTTTCAGTGTATTTTAAAATTCTGAAATAATTAAAACCAAAACATGTTTGATCTATTTTTCTTTCACAGAGTCCCCAGAAAATAAAAGTGTATTTCAAAAAGTGAAAATCAGAAGTAGCTGCTGATATAGAGAAGAGCACTAAGGATCATTTCTTGTGGAAAATTTTTTAAGGTATGTGAACTGTGTTTTGCAGAATAGCCATCCGGAAAATAAGCTGCCTTATTTTGCCTTGAATGGACTAATATTTCAGACCAGTTTCAAAATGATCAGGCTAGCTTTAGATTACCACTTTGGATGTTTATTGATGGCAATAGCTCTACGGAAGCATTAACTAAGCTAATTAAAGTTCCATACATTTTGCATCAAATGCATGTGTAGGTAAGATTCTGAAAATGTGGGTAATGTAAATGAGTGCTAGGTTAAGTACGTATTTTGTTTCATGGTCTTGTACGTTCAAGTAGTAGATTCTATTCTAACAGCAGTGTCAGTCTAATTTTTTTTGAGGTGTGGATGGAGGGGGATAATAATGATTTATTTAATTGTTTTAATGGAATATAACTACTATAAGCCTCATATTCATAAATTGAGATGGAGTGTATAACACATTGATCACCTGTTATAAAATTACTTTTAAATCAGTACAGAAGCCTTGAATTTGAGGATTTGTCTTCTGAATCCAAGTCCTCTTCCTTTAACGATTTTGCAGTATTCTTAATGTTTCTGGAAAGGGTCTGCAAAATATCAGCCATACTAAGTGATTTGGAGCCCATGCAGATTTAGGAGCAAGGGAATTGACAGATCAAGAGTGAGTGTGATTCTCTTTGCATACCGTGCACATTCCATATTCTCCCTTCTGGAGGGACTGCATGTGTGCTGTGCTTTCCTGTTCTGAATTTAACTGGGGGCCAGGCATGCTTCTGATTTGTGGTTTATCAGTTTGCCTACCTTGTCACTGATAAGAAACCACAAGTTCCAACTGATGTGTGTAGGTCTGTCATTTTATAATTAGGAAACACAGTCTTGGATAGATTTCTTGGCAATATATAACAGAAGTCACCAGTTGTTACTAGGGTAGGAGAGCATCTTGGGAAAGTATTGCTATGTACCATGCTCTGTTCTTCCCTACTCAATTGATTTCAGTCATTGTCACAGAACCTTTGATTTGACGTGGTATGGCCACTCTCATGTGTGAAGGACAGATTGCAATTTTCAAATTAAATGTAGATTGGCTATGAAAACTACTTTATTCAGAGTTGTTGCTGAAATCCAAGAAGACAAATAATGCTGGAATATTGGCTTTATTTACTGAAGGGGAGTGTTACAGTATAGAAGAATTAGGTTACTGTCATTGAAATTTCTCTGTCATGCTGACAAAATTTAAGATTGCTTTGTTTGGAATCTGACTGCATCGCTGTGTTGGTGGTGGTTGAGACAAGTCATAAACTGTCTTCAGTGACTATGCTTAAGTTTAGAACTTTTCAAGGTCTGGTTGCTTATTCACAGTATATTTTTAAATGTACCTTGAATGTTTATTTCCTGTCAGTAATTAGTCTGTTTTTCTGAGAGGGACTCTACAAAGAAAGTAAGTCTTACTTTCTTGGAATTGGCTCTAAGACATACTTTAACTGATAAAATGAATGAAATATTGATTGGCTAATTTGTCTGCCCAGTGATTTTTATAGTAATATATATATATATTTATATCTCATTTCAAAATAAAAAACTAAACTACCGGAAACTCATTTGTCCTATTTGATGCCACTGGGATTTTATTACTTTTACAAAACCTGCTAGAATTCAGCTTGAGACTTCACTGGCATGTCAAATTATGCAAGCATTGTTTATGTGTGGAAACAGATAAACCTCATGGGTATCTGCCAGAAGTAGGGAAGACCTCTTCCCAGTAAGAGCAAGCAATTCCTGATGTTTTTTTTCTGTATGAATTTAGCATGTCATTTGTTTGTTGTCATCAATTCTCTATCTACTTTAAAATGTGATGCCATCTCTCCATGTATTTTTGAGAAAGATTTTTTTTTTTTTTTTTCCCCCCAGAACATCTATATTTTCATCTTTTCATCTGGGTTCAGATTTTGTTGCACTACTCAATTTTCCCAGTAGTCCGTGGTTGCAAAATCTGCATGAGTATCTGTCTTTGTCTTAGGTGCTCAGCGTGAACATTGTAATGTTGGATGATAAAGCCAAAAAAAGGGACTCTTAGTATTTCTTCTGTAATTCAGTAGCTGTGAACGTGGGGGAGCATAAGGAGTATCATGCCACAAATAGCAGCCCAACTTGTTTGCTGTCCTTAAATAGTATATCCTGGTGACATGGTTGGAGACAGTGTACTGATTGAAATGAAGCATTGTGCCCGGACAATTATTGTAGGACTCTTCCAACTGAAATATTCTATTCTATTGGTGTGACCCTGTAGGGCAGCTGTCAACTCATCTGTGCACATTAATCAGGGAGATACCAAACTTGGAAAAATACCTGTCTGTGTTGGTGCCAGATGCTGTCTATTTGAACATTGGCCTTTTGCAATGTGCTTGTGCTTTTTAAGTGTATTTGAAATACATATTGCATAGAACACAATTCATGTGTTTGGTAATTTTTACAGTTTTGACTTCAAGGAAGTGACTGTGTGATCTGTACTGTTTTCAGTTGTTTAAAGTGTTAAAAAGTGCTCAAAGTGTTAAAAAATTAAAAGTGGTTTTAATTCAAGCTTTGGTTTTTAGCGTATTGACAATTAAGTCACTTAAGTCTTGGGTACTTGTTCACCACTTCTTTGCCTCCACAATGTTGGAGCATTTGAGTTTTGGTAAATGTCTCAATTCAACATCTTCTTAATTTACAAAGAAGTCATACGGAGGCTGGCTTACCCAGTTGAGAATCATCAGTTCTGAGATTTTATGCTTGTTAGACTTACCGAATCAGAATTTTTGCAAAATTAATTTTACTGTGCTGCTTCTGTCACGGTGAATGGAATAATTTAAAGCAAATACCAGTCCAGTATGTGTACAATTTTTGTTTGTGTACCCAGGTATATAATAGTGTAATTGGAAAATACGTAATTACTACTTAGTGAAGTGAGGCTTAGTGAAGGGAGGTCCTACTGATTTTTGTAATCTTGTGGCTCCACAGTGAGTCAGTAGAAGCAGACTAAAATATCATATGCTGAGAATATTTCTTCCCTCCTTTGCCTTCCTGCTTCTCAGTAAAAGGCAGAAGTTAATGTGAAAGCAACTCAGCCAGCACTTTACTCATAGCACAAGGCATGACTTCATCCTGAGATTCAATATCCATCTCTTCTGAATCTGGAATGTAAGAAAATAAAGATACTATCTTTTCTCATAGCTAACGTGCTAGGATATTTAGGTAATGTGCTAAAATGTACTAGGAGAAAAATAACCTTGGTCACAAAAGTGAATATTGGTCTAAAGGGTGTCAAAATTGCAAGTGCAGCTCCAGTCCTGTTAATAAGTAGGTGCTTTAAGATTTTTTTCTTCTACTTATCCTACTAAAATATTAGTGTTTTTTCAAGACTGTTCTTAAATTTTAACTGTGAAAATACTATAATTAATACAACTAATAATGTCATAGTCCATCCTTTATAAATATAGCCAGTGTGAATTATTTACTGTTGCTCTTTATGATTGAGCTCCTAGCCATCAGCAACAGTTCTGACTAAAATACAGAGCTTCAAATTAAAGAGCGTGTGAAAACTTGCTGTTGATTTAACATTACTCATACAACACTGACTTGTCTCTATTGTGTAGATGCAGATTAATACAGCACTATTCTTACTTACTTTATAGGTTCTTTGTTTCTTCCATTACATAGCACGGTTTGTGTTCTGAAAATAACCAGGTAGTGTATGAGGCTTATTTCCATGACTTATTGGAAGAGCTAACAGAGGCAGGGAACTGCAGGAAGAGAGGAACGGTCCTGGGAGTCAGGCTACCCTGGAGATTGCTCTAGGTTCTGCTTTGCAAAATATTCTGAGATTTTGTGTGATAACTGAAGCCAGTAACTAAAGCTAAAAATACCAGGGACTCTGAAGAGTCTGTCTTTAAGCTTTGTACACACCAGTACTAGCTGCTACAATATTGACATTAGTTTATGTGTTTCAGTTCTCAGTGTAAAATAATTTTATTAGTCTTGCTTCACCCTGTGGGCTGTTGCAAAGATAAATCGGTTAATGTTTGTAAAACAGTCTGCTAGTTTAAGTGACAATTTAAAGCCTATGAGGAAGTTGGTACTTCTGTGTTCAAAAGAGCTAAGACTTTGCTGGAGTGCAGGTATTAGTGAATAAGCAGGACGCGGGCTGTGTCTGTGCGGCAGTCCAGAGTTACAATTGCAGTTTATATAAGTTTATCTTACTTAATTTGAAGCTTATTAGTATAGGAACAGGTTTCTGGTGTATACAGAGAAAAGAGGGTTCAGCCCGTGTAACAAAACCTATGCAAGTCTGTGGAAATTACTCATATGTGTGTTCAGGTCTTCTGTGATGTGACTGCGTGTTTATCAGTATCAGAGGCAGGTGTTTTAGAGCTAGCTCAAACAAGTCTCTTTGACCTGCAGTTGTGTTACAGGGTTTCATAAAGCAGCATTTCTTACCTATTTATCAAATGATGTCCATTTGGTTCAGTAAGACTGGACTGCCCTAGGGGAAGATCATATAAACCTAAGGACTGTGCCCTAATGTGTGTCCCAAGGGAGCAATGGGCAGTTGCATGAGGAACCTGGTTTGGGGTATTTTCTGATTTTTGGGACGTTGAATCTGTAAGTTTAATGGCCTACTAACACAGTGTTCAGGACCAAACTAGCTTCTAACTAGTTATCCATTTTCCACAGATGAAGTGCCTGAGAGCTGGTATCTTATTTGTTTTTTTCTGTGTTCTTAGAATGGTAAACACCAGAAACAAGTGTTTCAGGTCACCAGGAATGGAACGTTGTAGTTGGAAGTTCTTGTCTGGAGATACTGTCAGCTATACTTACTTGACTAAATATGTGGATTGGTCTTTAGTATCTGTCTTAGATGCTTTTGTGTGTTCCCTCATAACTCCAGTTTAAGTTAGGGAGGTACATTTTGCCGATGAAAACTGGATGACAGTTCTGGGACTGAGATCTCTTCCAGTCATAGATATGTGTTCAAAACAGTGCTCTGACCCTCCTTTCGGTTTGTTTGGAGGAGGTATATGTATGTGGTTAATTTTATGGTTAAGTTATTTCAGGGTTTAGACATCAATAATTGCTCTTTGTCACACTAGCAGTTTTTCTTTTGATACGTGTCTTATGAATCTTGTTTTGCTTTCAGATGTGGTGAAGAAAGAGCCTGTATTTCCCCCTGTCTGGTATATAGTGCCTTAAAAAATGGGTTTTGGAGGTGACCTGAAGTATTCTCATGATGCTTTATTAAAACTGCAAGACTGGGAACTACGACTGCTGGAAACAGTGAAGAAATTTATGGTAATGCGAGTAAAAAGTGATAAGGAGTATGCCTCCACTTTACAGAATCTTTGTAATCAAGTAGATAAAGAGAGCACTTGTCAATTGGATTATGTCAGCAATGTGTCCAAGGTAAGACTGAATTATTTTGAATTTGGAATATCCTTGGAAATAACAGTGCTGGATTTATTTTTGTTTGTTTTAGCTTGAGTTGGATTCCTGTTCATTCAGCTTCTTGAGAGTTAGTTACCAAAGTATTTAAAATGGGCTTCTCTGTTCCTTGGTGGAATATGCAGAAGTTGAGCTCCAGTCTTGCTTTGAAAATAATAACTGAACTAGAATCAATTCTGAATTAGGAAATTCAGCGTTTTAGATTCTGGGATTGAATCTGCTATTTTGTTTAATGTTTTGAAAATAGATTATGCTATAGTAAGCTTTTCTTTTAAGACAGCTAAATAGGAGCTATTGTTTATGTTATATAGAATTTGTGATAGAAATAGAAAAATGCCAGGAAACCAAGGCAAAGCCTTGCATTCCAGCTGTTATTCATACTGCAGCATGTGTTGTAAAACCAAAGCATTAATGCAGGATGTTTCTCATAATTGTGAAGTGATTTTGTATCCAGTTTAAAATAAATATGTTGACTTTTTATAAAGGTAAGGGTGTCCTTCTCCCAAATTACTAATTTTCAGATTTAGAGCAATTACAGTAAAGGTAGTGATGAAACAAACTTCCCTTTTTCACCTGTTTAGAAGTTTCATTACTAACTTTGATTCCTTCCTGACTAGAGAAAATGATTCTGTTTTAATGGCTTATTCAATTCTTGGCCTTTCTGCTGTGGCAGTGGTTACACAGTCCCTTCAGTCTGACATGAAGCCCAATCTCTCTGCAAGAAAACACTCTTTTTAGGTCAAGTTGAATTTTAGACAAAGCAGTTTTTATGTAGTGGGATTATGGGGTGGTTGCTTGAATACTAGCTGTGGCATAGCATTGGGAACGTGACTGGTCCCTGTGCAGCAGTCTAGATTTATACTGATTAAAGTGGCAGTGTGTGTGACTTGAAAGCTGTGCTGCTATAGCTAGTCTGCTTCAGCTGCCCCAAAAGTAACACAGTGTTTATCTATAGCAAAATCTGTTGTTGCTTCCTTCCCCCACAATAATTCTTGTCTTGAAAATTGACATACTACCTTTTTTCTTTCTATCTGTTTTGGTAGAGTATTTGAAATGCTTTCTACCCAATTATGTTTCTTCTACATGATTTGTGATATATTTTGCTATTTAAATTGTAATGATTTTGGTAAATATACATTAAAGCATTGTCATTAGCCTAAGGTTGGCAGAAGTCACGTATTTTCTTCAGGCTTTCTACTGTTGGATCCCAAAGTTTTGTATAGAATTACTAGTGATATGACTATTAATTCTTGTTGTTGCTGCCCCACTAGATTTGCTCTTACGTACTAGCTAAACTGTCTTCCAATTCTTTTAGGTGATGAAACAGAGCAGATTAAGGCTAGAACTGTCAAGGACTATTAGCATCAGACTACTTAGCATTATAAGTTAGAAGCAACCCCTAACCTTCATGTAGCTAGCCTATTTAGATGGTTCATGTCAGTGACATGGATACTTCAGTAACATGGATACTTCCTGTGAGAAATAAATTTTAAAAAGCTGAAGATCTGACTTAAGCCATGCTCTTCCTTCATTGAAGAGAGGCACGTGTGTCACATTTTGAAATCATGTTTTTAACATAGTTACTCAGGTTGTTCTTTCAGGATTATTATTGTTCCCTTTTTCTTTTTTTTTTTTTCCTCTTAAAGAGGTGCCATTTTTCTCTCAAGACCCATCCCTGATCTCTACATTTTTATATAACAGGAAAGATATTCGTATGCTACTGAGAGATCTTTTGTATGGGTTTGCCTTGAAATTTCACTGTTACCTTAAATTTTAAAGTAGTGTAGTGACACAATGTTTTCCTAGTTTTGGCAGTTAAAATGTCTGAATTATTGATTACTTTCCTCACTTGATTCTAATTTACTTTACTATTTCATGATACTTTTTCTCTCTTCCTGACATTTTACAGAATCAAAGTATGATCCAAATATTATGGAACGTAAATCTAGTATCTTAGATCTCCTAACATATGAAATACCTGTACATTGAATTTTTGGTATTATATGGCATCTAAACCAAATACCAAGCTGTCTAATCTGTTATGTTTGGTTTGGTTTTGGGTTTGTTTTGTGTTTTTTTTTGTTTGTTTGTTGTTGTTGTTATTGTTGTTGTTTTCCTTGTTTTTTGTTGTTGTTTTTTTTTTGTTTTGTTTTGTTTTTTTTTTTTTTATTTTTAAGTATACATCAAGAGTGAGCACTTTGAGAGAAATGGTGTTTGGAAAAGTCTGTCCTATGTTTTTTTCATGCAAAGGAAGCAAACTTGCTGGAAATCATAGTGGCAGCAACCACTAATGCTGGAAAAGCAGTATTTTTAACTGCTTCCCAACAGTTCTTTTGTGTGTGTATCTATATGTCTGAAAAATACTGTTAAACCAAACAATGTTGTATTTTATTGTTTTTGATGGATTGTGGTTATTGTCTGTGGAGATAAATGCTTTGCCTTTTCTGCTATGCCCACCCAGTTGCTTTTCTGTCCCATAGATAACTCAATTTTTGAAGCCTTACCGGAAGTATAGCTTTTCCTATTTTAAAATAGTAAAATATAATCATACAAAACACAGAAGTCCTGTTTACCCGATGTTTTCTCAGTATGGAAAGAGTGATGTAAAGAACAGAAAAATGTACAAGTGATTTTTTTTAAATCCAAAGGGAAGTTTTTGCTATGTTTCTGACTTATTCAGGTTAATTCAGTGAACTGTAAGCTAAGTATTTCTTTAGAGTACTTGTCTTGTTGGAAGGTGTTTTTGCTGTGATTTTCAGGGTTGATTGAAACAGTACTTGTCTCATCAGTAATAAATCAGCTTTAAAGAAAATGGAGAACTCTGACTTCATTTTCACCTCTGAGAGCACTCTTATGAACTCTTCTATAACCACAAGAGCTACTCCTCTCAGACAGATGTTTAATGATGTTTTTTTCTTATGCAGCTTTGCAGTATGGCTTCTGAAGTAATTCGGAAAGTGCTCTGTAACGGAGAGGTGGAACAGTTTTCAGCCATAGCCAGGAAGCTTTAGGCTATGACCTTTTACACCACTACACTTCAAGCAGTCTGAGATAGCTCTGTGCCAGTCTGTGGGATGTTTACAAGTCAAAAGAAAAGTTAAAGATGGTTTAATATATACAGGAGTTAACTGTCTTTTGTTTCCTTCTCTAGAATCCAGGTTGCATTGCAGCATTATCATGTAGAGATTGAAATATTATGCATATATGTTTATATATGAGATGTAAGGAAACCCCAAAGCTGCCAAACAAATTAATTTTCTAAGTTTTGATGATCTAGGGTAGATATATGTCTTTAGTAAGAGTAAGATAAATGCTAATAAAACTAGCATACTAGCTGCCTTCAAAACCTGATAATTATTGTAGCCATTCTACAATTTTAGATTTAACATAGTGTTCAGTGTCAGGGAGTTATTTCTAAGGAATCCAATATCGTCCTCATCAACAAAGTGTGACAGGCATCTTCAGGGTAGCAAATGCTTTTACTTGAACTGAACTTTAATTTTGTGTTTGTTTGTGTGCTGCACTGGAAGCCTCTCTGTTCACCTTACAGCTCTTAATCAAAATTCAAAGCCACTAACAGAACATTAAGCTTCCCCAAAACTGACAGAATAGCTACGGAAGTTATTAACGTAAGGGTACAGAAAGATGTTGGGTTAGTATGACAGATGAGTAAATGCTTGTGTCCCATAACCTGTTGGAACCTTATGCTCTGATACTGGTGGCCTGACTGATCCTGCCAGTTATGAGAAGCAGCTGATGTATGGTATCCTCTCAAACAGTAACCATTCAAATGCATATTGCTCTGGGGTGTTTAGAGGAGAGCAGAGAAGTCAGGCAGGGAAGTCAGCTGGAACAGCGTAACTGTGGCTGGGAAACAGGAAAACAAAGGACAGGGGAACATGCTTGTCCGGTGTGTTGGGGAGGTATTCCAAAAAAGTCTGTAAAACTTTCATTGGTGTTTAGAATTACTAGGACAGTGCTGAAGCTTGAACATAGAATTTTGGATTTTTGTCTCTGGTGCTTTTTTATGATTTTATGAATAAGTTTGAGGCATGATTTTGCTGTAGCAGGAAGAACTTTATTTTAGAAGATCTCAAGTGCATTTGGGTAAGTTTAAAATTATTTTTTTACTGAGTTCTTTTAAACAGTTATGCATCTTTTTCCACAGTTCATGCTAATCATTTGGTTATTTGTAAGCAAGAATAAGTAAGTGCTTTTCTATTCTGACTTTTTTTATAGTCTTGGTTGCTCGTGGTACAGCAAACAGAACAGCTGAGCAAAATAATGAAGACACATGCAGAGGATCTTAATTCTGGGCCTTTGCATAGGCTTACAATGATGATCAAAGATAAGCAGCAAGTTAAGAAGAGTTATGTAGGTGTTCATCAGCAGATTGAAGCAGAGATGTACAAGGTATTTTACTGAACTGTGCTTTATAAATTTATTATAGTTTTGTATGTTTAAAAAGTAATATATTGAGAGAGGATTTTTTTAGTTCCTCTGTTTTTGTTTATGCTACGGTAGAATTAGTGACTGGTGATATGTAGAATGCCTAGTTTAAATTTTAGTTATTTCCTCCACATTTTCTCTCCCCTGCTAGCTGACAAAGCAGAGATGGAAAACTTTCGTCTGTATGAACTTCTGTGGAGAGATAAACACTGGAAATGACCTTGTTCCAGTAGATGATGATTACGTGTGACGCTTCCTTATTCCATCTCTCTTCCTGTTCTCATTCCACTCTAGACAACCCTGGGACCAGGGTTTTGAAAACTTTTGTTAATGAGTGCGCCTGGCAGTCCAGACCGTTTTGGGTGGGGACAGAATTATAATCCCTATTCTAAAATATAAATCAAGTGTAAACCAAGCATTAGGGCTGCAGATGAAGCTCCTCAGGGCCTTTTCTATTGTGTGTCAGTTGTCCCGCTTATGTTGAAAGCACAGTATCTAGTCAGTAAAGCTGACAGAAATAACAGTTTTATTCAGGCGGTCTGGGAGAAGCTTAACTGCAAATGTCAAAAATCAAATTGATAGTCTGAAAGGTCTACTCAGAGAAGAAAAAGCTCTGTCTCTTTTTCTAGCAGAGAATTTGATATTTGGAGTAGTTTAATTAAAATGTGACATCTGAGTAGTACAGTACAAATATCATGGACTGATAAGTAAAAGATTATTGAGCTGTTATGAGAAGAACCTTAAACTAGTACTAAACATATATTAAGTTAAATACGTTGACTCTAATAGGACTGCTTCCATATTATGCTAGGATCTTGACATCTTCCTCAGGTATTAACAATGGTGAGTACATAATTTTTGATGCATGATCAGTAGGCTGTCTTATCTGATAAAATTTCCAAGCCAAATAATCACTCACAGACACTTATGGATTGGTACATCTGAAAACAGTCAGGAGGGAAGAAGATGAAAAACTAGTACCATACATTAGAAGTAATAGATTAACTATAGAGAGAATTGGAGAAATATTAAAAAAAAAAAAGAAAGAAACATAAGAGGAGCTAGATGAACAAGACTGCTGGAAGTTCAGGTATACTTTTAGAAGACTGCAAAACATGTTTATTTTTATTTTTTTTTTCTGTTAATAAGTTAACTCTAATAAAGCTGTCTTTTAAAATAAGGCTTTTTCAAAACAATATAGTGCGTATTGAGCATTCCCCTAATGATTAATTGCAAACCATGTTGATTTTAATTAATTATGGTCTGCATGGCCATGCAAACGTTTTGCATCGTGATGAATAAGCATGCATTGTTGTTTGTTTTTGTTTTTTTTTTTTTTTTTCCTCTTCCTGATTTTCCTAAGAAGCATTTGAATAACATTCTGGTTAGATATGATATGTTCTTTCATTGTTAGATGACATTGTTTGTTCAAAGGTTTTGTGTCACTCAAGCACTTAGAGAATGGTTCCCAGAAATTCAAAATACTTCTCATGTTCTGTGGTATTATTTCTGCCTTTATTACACACGGAAGCAAAATAGTTATTATTTCCCAGGACATTATCCAAACCTTGTGAAGATCACAGTCTGTGCAGTTCATCTATTTAGGATACACTGGCAAAAAAATCTGTTTCTGTTTAGATGAAATGCTTATGCATCATCTTTTCTTACTTTAGACACCTCTACAGTGAGGAATCTTTTCGATAAAATTTCTTAAGGACAGAGAAATGTCATGTCTTTTGCACAGATGTAGTAAACTCATATCTTGTAGATTTATTCCAATTCCCATTAAGATATTGGATATTTTTTTATTTTTTATATGAAATTTGAGGAAAAAAATAGAGTACTGTGCTAGTTAGCTGGGCAAGACTTTGATATAAAAAATAGGTTTAAGATAATCCTTGACCGTTTTAGTTCCTTAAGTGTTACTTGCGGACAGAGGTGCTCTTGGTTTTTTTTGTCTGTTGGAAGACTAAGAATCAGTAAAATATATTTTGCAAATATTATAAAAGTTTCTTTGTAATATTATAGTGGCCTACCTTTTATTTTCTAATTTTCTGTAAAAGAAGCAATTTCTTGTTATTTAAGTCTTAATTGCATTCACTACTTCCGAATTTAATCTTTTCCTTAATTCTTATGGTGTCTTTATAATACAAATTTTTCATAAATTTATTTTGTCCTGTATCACCTCTGTTACTCTATAATAACAACAGTTGTGAATATAATTTACAGTGTGTAGAAATAAGAGATGAGAATATGGGGTTGATGTGGAGGAAAATTCCTGCCTTTAAATTAAATCTTTGCACAGTTGGCCCAGAAATAGAAACTGTAGATAGCACCTTGTTGAGTCTTTGAGAAATTCCACTAAGTTTCCATATGTTGTTCTTGAGGGTGAAAGTAAGTGGTGTCTGAGCCTTTCCTCATGAAAAAAGTGAAAATTGTGAAGTCCAGCCTTCATGCCAGCTGTAAGAGGAATGTTTTTTTCTGTAGATCAGATTTCCTTTTCTGCACAGTCACTGAGAGGAGCACTTCCATTAAAATAAGTTCCCCTCCCATGATTTCCCACTGTGAGTGCATTTTTCTTATGCAAAGAGTTTTTACTTTTCTTTACTATGTATGTCACCTTTTTGATATTGTAGTGGCTGTTTGGTCATTAGCTTTTGTTCACAAGTTCATGATTTGTGATTATTTCTTAGCTGATGTGCACTAATTTTGTCACACAATGAATGAAAGTTGGGGATAGAAGAAACAACTTAATTTTTTGTTTAAAAATGTCATGTTCAGTGGAGCTGCTTCCACTGCAAAAAGATTCTTCAGTGCTGTGTTCCACTGTAGTTTGGTTTGGTTTTGGTTTTTTGGTTTGCATTTTTTGTTGTTGTTGTTTTTTTTTGTTTGTTTGTTGTTTTGATTTGGTTTTGTTTTTTTTTGTTTTGGGTTTTTTTTGGTTGGTTTCTTTTCTTTTTTCTTACAACTGATAGACTGGTTCATGCAGTTATTGTTTCTGTGCCATTTATATAAACTATAATATAAAAAAAATTTTCAGTCTTTTTTTTTTTTTTTTTTTTTTTTTTAATGCTGAGGGATTTACTTCCTCTGCATAGTACTTTTTAATCTAGTATGATTTATTAAGTATCTTCTTGGTACTTTTTTCCCACTTGTCATTAAAAGGGAATAGTGTTCATGATTAGCTGGATTTCCTAGACATATTTTTCATTACACTGATGTGGATGGGGATCTCTGTTTCAGGCCTCTTATTTCATTCCATGCAACTATTGATTTTGATTTTGATAAACCATGTAATATCCTATTATCTCAAGCCAATGGAAAGAGGTAAAATCCTTATCTGGAAAATAAATCCTGTTAATTCTCTTTCACTAATGCTGTGAGGTTTTTTATATGTTGAAGATAAGCATTTTTAATACTTCTTATATTTATTTTCTTAAAGGTCACAAAGACAGAACTAGAGAAACTAAAATCTACCTATAGACAACTAATAAAAGAAGTAAATTCAGCAAAAGAAAAGTATAAAGAAGCTGTGGCTAAAGGTATGACTGATGTATTAAATTCATCTGTTTGTTAGTGCATTTTTCAAACCTGCTAAAACTCTCACAGTGAAACAGGGTAATGTTTTTATTTTGAGAAACTTGATTACAATATAAAAGCTTATTTAGTATCTTAGGTAAGACACAGTAACTATCATCATGTGTACTTGGTGGTACTCTTTTAAAAATTATAAAATAAGGGATAACCCTTCTTTTAATAGAAATGGTAGTATTTTAAAATTCTTCTGTTACTGCTTCAGTGGATGCATTTGAAATGTAAAATCACTCAAATGAACTGTTAATAGTGGTAAGTGGTTTTCAACTCTGTCTCATCTACATTGTAGCTGCAATGTAGCTGCACCTACTTGCATCTTGTGACCTATTAGGGTTGCTGTAGCTGCATCAGCATCAGTTCTTGACAGTTTAAGGAATCTGACCTTTGTCAACCTTAAGCGAAAGAGGAAAACAATTCATTTGCACACTGAGATATTTTAAAGACTTGGGGAATGATATGTCCAAACTGCATGAATTTTGATTCTTGTTGAATTGTGCTAACGATTAGATAAAGAGGAACCTTTGTTCTGTGATGTATTGAAATATCTTGTTAATAGTTTTTCTTATGTGCCTTTCTAAGATTGTTTTTCTTTCTTTATCTAAAATTAATTGGATGGCAATATATAAATGTAATTCCAAGATCCATCTTTTAAGTTTTTGTATGACTGCCTAAAATTACAGTTAATGTCCTTTGTTCTGTTGTACTATAATTCACAGTGCAATATAGTAGCTATCAGTGCTGAGAGAGATTGTTTCTTTCCAAATTGATCTAAAATTGGGAGCAGTAGCCAATATGTGAATATAATGACAAAACAGTATGGTAGAAGAGAAGTTACACAGCACTGTTTAGCTTCAGCTTTTTCTTTTTTTTTTCTTTTACTGATATTCATATTCACTTAAAAGTGTAAATACATACTTAGTTGTTACTTTTGCCCAGTTCCCTCGGTGTTTTTTACATATAACTTTAACTTCATTACTTGGTTTACCCCCAAGTAGCTGCTTAACATGGGGACATACAGTATGTAACATAGGATATATAATAGGGTGCTGTAATCTTAGTATGTTCCTTTTATCCTGTCTTCCTGTTACAGCTCTGATCATTCTCCTTTCCTGAAGCACCAAACTTTCCCCCTGAAATCAGAGAGTGTTTTGGCTGTCAGCAGCTATAATGTTTTGATGTGGTTCTGATTAACTGCATCAGTGTTTCTTTAGATAGACAGAAAACACAAACTGATTTTAAGGCACTTATTTCTCCTGTGGTTTTCCTTGACCACTTCTTTCAGGCTTCTATTTAGTATTTGTCTTACTACAATTCATACTTAATTTCACTTTACCTAACATCTTAGTATAAATTGTTTCAATGAACACTGACCTCCAGAAAAATGTTGCCAGTTTTTCTCCCCAAAATTGCAGAATTTCTTCTCCCCTGTTGCACCCAAGACAGGGTTCTTGTTTACAAATATAGGTATAGTTGGTGAACTACTACAGTTGTATATCAACCACAGGACAGCTGAGCTGTTTGAATTTTTTTAAGCCATCGTATTTTCATAGCATTTCTGAGCCTTCAAGTTGTCAAACTGGTTTGTGAAGTGAACAATTTAGGAAAGTTTCAAAATTATAATGCTTCATTATTCCAGGCATTAGTTCAGTAACTAGTGATTATTCAAATTATGTGTTATTAGGAAATACAACTTTTGTTAATATACAAACTAGTTAAATTTTTCTACCAGAACAGTGGGAGGGCATAATGAAGTATTAGAAATAAGTTGAAAAACATTTTTTTAAACAAAAAAGTGAAAATCTTTGGACACCAGCTCTTGCAAGAAATGTCTTAAAAGAACCAGTCCAGATCCACTTATGTAAAATGCTGTTGTCAACAGACTGTTCCTCAGTCAAACCAAGCCTCCATCGCAGTGCGTGGCCCTGCTTTTCTGGTGCTGAAGGGGATAACTACTCCTTAGGATGTACTAGGTCTTTGCCCCTGGGCTTGTGCATGCTGAATTACATGTAAACTTGTGTAGTACCTGTACAAGCTAGTCAACATGAAAAGAATGCAAGTTACACAAAGGAATGACTTAGAAATTTCTCTGTGTTGCAAGTGCAGTGGTTTTGAAATGTGATTTTTGTTTTGTTTAGTTTTGTAATAGCAAAGCTATCTTCTAGTGAGAGAGTAAGAGCCGCTAGTGAAAGAGGTACAAGTGGTTCCCTAGTTTGGGAAGATAATTTCACTGTTTTCTGGTTGAGTTGTTGAAAGTGATACTTAATTCTGGGCTAAACACACACAGTAGAGGATATTAACAGAAAAGGGTAAAGCCTGGCAAAGTTATAAACAATGGGAGGTGATCTTCTGCAGTAGTAATTGGTTTTATGTTTTTCTGCAGTCACGAAGTATTCTCAAGTAAATTCGAATTACTGTGTGTTGTCCTTTCCACCAGCGAACAGGACAGTCATTTTGAATCCTAATGTAGGGTTACAGCTGTTTTCACTTTTTGTCAAAAACATTAAGAAAATAGTAATAAGAATAAGGGTTGAGAACTGAATAATGATACTGGTTAGTTACAGATTTTGTTTGTGTCAGGGCAATGGAAAGGTAGCTGTTGGGAATTTTTTGATAGTTTTGTAGTGAGGAGAAGGGAACTGGTTTTTGAAGGAAGCCGGAGTGTTCTCCACATCTGGAAAAAGATGAAAGAGTCTGAGATGCTGGCTCATGAGGGAAAATGTTCTGGGGAAACCTCTGCTAGCACTGTTTCTGCTTGAGTATCAGAGAAGCAGGGGTACAGTTGTGTTGCAGAGGGTTCACCACTGAGCCTTAGCTGCCACTTGGTCCGAAGGCTGGGTTGCACCACCCTGTTGTGGCCACCAGTGTCTGCATGCTGTCTTAGTCAGGAGTGACTGATTTATTTCGTTTGTTCCAGCCTTTAGCCCATTTAGTCATGTGTTGCTGCTCCTTTCTGGACCAGAGATTACCATGGGAAGCACAAATGCAGGCTAGTTGGTTGTTCTTGGGCATGGAGACCCCAGGTGTCAGGCAGCTTGGTTGGTGTTACTCCACTGGTTGATAGTTTTTTGTTGTTGTTGTTTTTTTTTTTTTTTTTTCAGCCATTAATTCTTAGAGTTTTTAAATGTGTGGTGGGAGAAAGTTAGCTTGAGAAGGGAATAAAGTCAGCAAGCTGAACTAGTCCAGTGCCTCTCTAATGAGGCATGCTTTAGCAACAAGGACTGTGGACAGATTGATTCCAGTAACCTCTCCTGGATTGGAAAACTTTTTTAAAAAAAAAAAAAAAAAATAAAAATCATGTGCTGGGAATGCACATGTTTCTTTGCAGAACTGGGGCATTAGGACATTTTGCAGTCATTGATGCAAAATACAAAATAAAAACATATTTCATTGTTTTTCCATGAAATGGACAGCCCTCTGACATCTTTTTCATATGTGATACTGAGAAAACATGGTGTAAGCTTCTTACAACAGTGATGTGACTGACAGATTGTGTACAAGTCAGCCTACAATGCTGTGCTGACATCAGTGATGCTGAGTAACAAGGTAAAAAGAGTATGGCATGTTGATGCTGCTGCTGCAGGAAAACATCAAAACATTTATGCCAAATGATAAAGACATTGTTTGGCTAAAGAAGAAGTCACAAAGCTTATAAAAAGTTTCATAAATAATAGGTGAAGAACACAAAACTGAAAGTGTAGAACAGTTGTAGATACGAAGTGTGATATCTCATTACAGTTTAAATCTCATCTGATTGGATCAGTAACTGCTTCCACTTAAGTTTGCTATTCCCACACTTACTTTTGTTTCTGCAGAATTGTGCATCTTTATTAACTGTAGTTCAGAGTGTCTCTGTGGGGATTTCTGATATTTTCATCCTTGATTTTTTTTGATTAAACACTACATATTGCTATATAAAAAAATGTTCAAATAAGGAAATTATGAGTACCTGAAAGCAAACAATAATTTGCTGTTTTATTTTTTTTTCTTTTTTAATTTGAAAAGCATTAATTCTTAACAATATCCCGTCTACTTTTATAGCTGATTTTGGTGTTTAAATGTGAAATAATTGCTCTTATATCAGTGAATATTGCAGGTTGGAATAGAACCAGTGTAGCTTTGGGAGGTTCATATTGGATTTTAATACAATATAATATTTAGCAAAATTTACAGTTTTCATGTAACTACATTCATTAGAGGTGTTTATTGTATTCTTCTTACTAGTTAATTACTGATTGAATGTAGAAACTACGTTACAACATTTTTATGTGACAGAATGGATCTGAAATCGATAGTAAAGGAAAAATATATTGATTCTAAGTATTTGATGTCACCATTTCATTTTATGCTGCTCTACAGCAGCCTAAAAAAATATTGTACCAGATTTCCCTAGGTTGGTTTGTGTTCCCTGACAATGTTGTGATTTAGAGGAGACTAGAAACTAACAGTACACCTAGCACATTATACAACATTGCATCTGCTTGAAGAATGTTTTCCAATTCCTACAACTCTTATGATTTAATACTTCAGAATTGATGTGACTTCTGTGGTACATACTGGAGTTGCATGACAGCATAAGCTATATCTATGATAAATAAGGAAGCTGTTGAAAACGCTTTCATTAAATCAAATTATTGTCCTACTATTCTTTGTAATAGCTGAGTGGTCAGAATATACTTTTATTAGGTGGCTGGTGCAATCATTCTGAGATGCCTATAAACTTGTGATATTACTACATTTCCTGGTGGCGTGTGTTGCCTTTAGTTGTTGCTGAGATCAGGTAAACTCTTAGTAGAGTATTTTTGAGTTTATTTTTGACTGGAACTCTCACATTAAGGCAAAATGGGTAACATTGGTCAAACTGGTCTGTTTTATTTACAGACATCAGCAGACTGGATGGATTTCAAATTAATATCCTATTGTGTTTCAACTCATAGACACTACTAATACT